GCAGACTATATAAAGACCGACATAGCAAGTATGAAGAGCAGGTGGAGGAGGTAAGCAGCCTGGGAAGATATGGGAACTGAGATGGTTGGAAGGGTGGACAAAATTCCAGGAGAAAGAAAGGCAGGAAAAACATATTCTGTGTCCAAAAAAAGCCCAGAGTTTCTCACATGACAACAGTTTGCAGCTGCGGTCACAGCTAAGCCACGGGCCAGCCCACTGCTGTATTTGTGTTGAGTCCTTTTGATGACAGCATGAATTTTGAGAACAAAGCTCCAGGCTGTGGATGTGTAACTGGAACCCAGCCACAAAAATAGCTTCTCTGTACACACACATGCAGAGGGGCTGATCGCTTGGCTTTGAAAAGAGCTTTGTCATTTATACAACTTAGAGGATTCCTCAAAAGCCACAAGTCAGGTGAATATCTGAACATTTCTGTTTGGTTAGATGCATCATGTGTAATACTCTTTTAGTCATTTGTGACTTTCTTCATTAACATTTCCTTCTTGTTGAAAAACCTAATGTCTTTTGAAGTTGTTTTGAGATTTAGGTACAACAGAGAGTGATTTACCAGATTAGAAGATTAAAGTTCTCATAAAAACATTAAAAGAGAGATTAGGAGACCATATGTGAATCTTTAGAGGGTAAAGTTTTCTATAAACTTTATACACATAATCTATAAACAAATACACATAATCACTTGAGTCTGGAAATGTCCCTGAGAAGGCACAGCTAGCTTGTGCCTTAATTCAGTCCCTTAATTAAATTTTGTACTCACAGAAGTCAATAAAAAATCACAAGGAGCTATAGGTTCATAACAGGTAATGTGGAGAAACAAAGATAATTTATTATGTGTATTTTAACATATTTGTTAATAAATAAATACACAAATAGTTACAAATCCGTTTATCTACATAAAATAAATTGCATTCATCTATAACTTTGTTTACTCCTTATGCTTCTTAAAACATATTTGTAATTAATTATTTCAGTACATTATATTTTATTTAACACTGTCTTCTGTATGTTCTATCATTTTTAATTATCATATGACATGTTATAGAACTAGATTCTATGGCAAAGTAATCATTGCTGTATTATTGGATGTTAATTTTTATTCTCGTAATCCTGCTTAAAAGCTTCATTATAAGCATAACTTTTTCTTAATTTGAACTATTTAATTCTCAGGAGTAGAATAATGGGGTAAAAGTATGGCGTGTTACGGCTTTTCATGAAAATTACTAAATTCTTTACCAGAATAATCAAACAAATTTGCACTTTTACCAGGAATATCTGGATTTCCCTAGCTATCTGAAGAACAAGCACCTTGTTTGTATCACTTTTTTCACTGACAGTTTCAACAATGTTATTATAATGGGGCTTGATATTTACATTACTTTGTCTCATTACAATTGTGTAATGAATGTTTATTTCCCCTCATATTCATTGAATTCATTTACTCACTTTTGTTTCCACTTTTGTGAAATGTGAGCTTTTCTCATCATTTATAACTTTGAGGATTTTTATATGCTTAAGAGATCTGTAGGCAGTTTTCATGTTTTCCACATTGAATCTCTACATTTATCACTGCTACATTCACCTTTTGCACATTGTTGTTATTTACTATCTATTGTTACCATACATGCTAAGCTCTGTGCTGAGTAACTTCATTATAACAATCAGATAAGGAATTGTTGTTATTCCCATTTCTCAGTGGAGACAATGAAGGCTCTACCACTTACACATGTTGGCCAACATCACAAGATGAAAGCATCAGACCTACATTGTGGTTGCATCCTACCCTGTGGTTCTTCCTCTTAAGAGTTCTAGAGCTGTTTGTACAGCTCCTTTCTCTCCGGCTGTATCTCAGGTACCACGGTTTGATGACATAGGCTTTTAAGTCTGGATAGCCATGTGTGCTCAGATTGCTTTACATTTTTGTTTCTCAGTCATCATAATGCCTTTGTTGGTCTTACTCGCCACTGTACTTCAGTAAGCCTCACCTATGCGTTCTCATTTTTGATTTATAGAGATAGTCTGAGAGTCTTGGGGTCAGTCACAAAAAAGTAGACAACCACTTCGGACTGGAAAGATTTTGGTCACATGGAGAGTTTTGTTTCACAGAAATTTTTCATAATTAATCTTAATTATGAATTACTTCATAATTCATCTTAATTTTAAAATTAATACAAACAATATGATTTTCCAAGTGGGAGAAGAAAAATGAAGCTTTAAACAGTTATGCTTTGGTCGGGGCTGGGGATTTAGCTCAGCAGCATAAGCGCCTGCCTTGCAAGCGCATGGTTGTGAGTTCGAACCCTGCTACCAATTAAAAAAAAAAAAACAGTTATGCTTTGGTCAAGAGTAGAAGTGAGACAAATGTGAAGACTCAGAGCTTCTCCTCCTTTATCCCATGCTCAGTGGCTGCTGCCAAGTGCCAGGCATAACAAGTCATTTCACTATTATAAAGCTGTACCCTGGGGCATAGCCTTCTACCCGCAGGTATTCTTTGGGACCAGTCCAGATGCCTCACCCTTCTTGACACCTGGGTTTTCTCCACTGTTTACCTCCTGTCAACTTCAGATACAAATGCTGAGACTCTGGTTTAGGTTTGTCATTCTCACTGGAGCTGTCTCCTCTAAACCCAGCCAGGCCACTCACTGCACTCTTGCCACATGAGTGTCCTAGTGTGCTGCCCACTTTTAGATGCCAGTCAGGTGCTCCTTTTAGATGCATTCTGTAGCCTCAGAGCTGGCAGTTTAACTCACCCCAAGTTGTGAGAACATAGCTGTGTCTGCTAGGTTTCCGAGGTGACCAAAGGTATTGTCACCCTGGGATACACATTGTTGAGTGTCCAAATCTGCAGCTCTGGCTGTTGCCCTTTGGGCAATTCTATTTACAAAGGTGCTCATCAAAGAGTCACCTCCCACAGTCCTGGACTGGAGTCTCGCTTCTTGACAGCTGGCTCATTCTCCCCCCGCTGTGGAGGAGGTGAGAAGGGTCACTGACCAGTCTTCCTGGTTGCACAAGATTCTGGATGCCGCTGGACACAGCTGGCCTCTGTCTGTCTGCATCTGCAGAGCAGAGCCTCAACACATACAGTAGTCAAGCTTTCCTTTCCTGCTCGTATGGACCTTGAATTTGAGCGTGGTTGTCGTTTCGGACTTCCTACTTTTCTGAGCTCTTGCCTCAGCTGTTTTTCAGGCCTCTTGCACTCACTTCTTTTCTTTTATGGCAGCTGGCAACTCCCTGGCCATCATGTTGGTCCTTCCTACTGCAAGTCTATTTATTTCTCAGTGGTACATGCATGTGTTGAGCTCTGGGCGATTTCACGTTATCCACCTACCTGGTTCTACAGCTAGTTCCTGCTGAGACCCCCCATCAATGTTTTGTGTATGTGTGGCGCTTTTTTCTTCTTTTACTTATATTTTATTCTGTGGCTGTTAAAATACCTAGGGTATCCAATATGTGATAGTTATAATCTCTGACTCATCATAATGATGAGTCAGTGGCTTGGAATGTGTGAATCAGGCTATGTCAGCTTCCTGGGGCCACCATAAAATATCACTAGAATCTGGGGGCAGGGCTTAAAACAACAGATATTATCTCGCACAGATCTGGGGTCCAGATGTCTGAAGTCAAGGTCTTGCAGAACCATGCTCCCCTGAAAGCCTCCAGGGGAGAACCTTTGCTTTCCTCTTGCAGTTCCTGGCAGTCCCATGTGCTGCCTGGAGCAGCACCACTCCACTCTGCCTCCATTGTCACCTGTCATTGCCCTGTGCTTCTGTGGCTTCTCCTCACATACAAGGAAAGCAGATCTTTTGGATTAAGGCCGATCCTAATCACCTCATCTTAATTTACAGCTGCAAATCCCCTTTATAAGGTCACAGTCACGGGTAACAGGACTTAGGACTTCAGCATATATTTTAGGGGCCCATAATTCAACCCATAACAGGTAGAGGTTCTCTTTGGTCTCTTCTCATTTGCTGCACTCTGTATCTTTCTCTGGCCTCACTGGGACCTGTTCTGTTCCTATCTCTAGCCCCTGTTCCTCAGTTCCATTCAAATCTACACCAGAATCTGGTGAAAGAGGAATTGATATCAGCTCAAGTGGAGGTGAGATTTGGTTCAAACTAAATGGATGAAACACTGATGATGGATCCTTCTGCCCCAGAGCAGGGTTGTGCAAAAGACAAGTGATTGGACCCTGAGGTCATTTAACAGAGGCATTTGCTTTGTTTCCTAATGCAAAGGCCAACACTTTTGCCAGAATGTCTTAAAGCGCTCCAGGATCTGAGCCGGGCCTCCTCTCTGGGCCTCCCTCTGCCCCCAGGGCAGCACCACTCCCTACACCTGCTCACTCCTCCTGGGTAAAATGAGTTATTGTGGTCAGAGAAAATAGACAAGGACATCTGAATGACCCTAGGAGAGATTTTCAGATTTAGGCCACACACCCTGGCATAGAAGTCTTGGGCTGCTTCCAAAGGAATGAAGGTGGATCCAGAAGTGCCACTAATGCTCCTAGCTTTTAGTGGAAGACACACCCCTCAGGCCACTATGCAAACAGAAAACAGGAATCTAGGCTGGGCTGTAGAACAGAAGATGCATATGTCCTCAGGCTCTTTTCCTGCCCTTGTCATATGGGAAATGATCAGGCAAAGCAGGCTGATTCCTCTGAGTGGCTATCAAAATCCTTCCCAAACACTGGTCTGTGCAGTATTAACAGTCACAGAAACTGACACTCCTTGTCTAGATTGGGAAGAACAAACATCCCTCCTATTCTGATCTGAGCTGCCTTGACCTCTACTGCTGATCTGATCAACAGATCTGTCATCCTTCCTGGATTGTAGCAAGTGGGGCTCAAGACAGGGAAGAGAGGACCCAGAGACACTGAGGAGCGTGAGACCCGTCCTAACTCTTTCTCTTCAGCCTCCTACTTTCCTGTCAGTATTGCAACCCTTTCCCTCCCCTAGAGTCCCCTAGAGTTCAGACGTTTCACCAACCTGCATTTGGGGTCATTACATAACCGGTCAGTTCCAAGGTCCACCTCTATTCCCAGTGTGCCCAAAGGTCAGCCTTTGGGCTTCTGGGAAACTGCTGCCAAGACAGGGAGAGTGGATACAGGGTCCAGTCGCGTACGCTGCAAATGTGATCAAAAATTATACAAATGTTTTAACTTCTTCAAAATAATGTAATGTATAATCTCCCTCAAAATACTCCCCAATTCGAAACACATCTCATCATTCATGCCACTTTCTGAAGCAGCTCGGAAAGTCTTTTTCCTGAGTATCTCTAGCTGTGCTGTCATGGCTACCTCCAGACCCTGAGGTGATTCAAAACATCTACCTTTCACAGTCATTTTAACTTTGAGGAAAAGCCAGAAGTAGGATGGCGCCAGAATGGTGAATAAGGTGGATAAAGGTACATTGTAATATTTCTTGTTTGATCGAAATTTCTGTAAACAGTTGATCAATAAGCAGTGATCAAACAACAGTGAATATTTAAAGTTTAAAAATTATTACAGAAGACACATTGTCATTACGCCCCTCAAAATATTCCTCCTCTCCTCAGTTATGCCATTGTTCTTCACAGTATGTCTTTTACTGTAATCAGTTTTTTAAAAAAACATGTAAACATTCACTGTATTCCTGTCACCGTGTGTGTGTGTGCACACGTCACACAACTTCTTGTTGCCTCACTGAAATTCTTGCTAAAAAGGAATCATCTCTTCCTCTCCTTGCCTGACCATATCAAGAGTCACACATCACCAGCTCTTTCCCCTTGGTGTCACTGCAGCTGGCACCTTGTCTGTATCACTTCTGCTTCAAAGGAAACTAAACTCAACCCTGAGCTGTAGAGAAATGAGAGTGTCCGAGCTCTGCCAGAGCACAGGGGGTCCTGCCCAGTGGACAGAAGCCCCTTGAGTCAGTCCAGAGGATGAAAAGAAGAAAATGGCGATCCTGGGTACTGCTTTCACATGCTATGTAACAGGAACAGGGGCCAGGGGGCTGGGCAGGTCCACAGGCCTTGGTTATCCACAAGAACCAAAGAGGATGGGCCTGTGCAGACTGCTGAGCCTTCATCTATCCTTTCCAGCCTCTGAGGGCCCTGTGGCTCCAGTTCAGGTCTCTTCATATCAAACAGGGAGAGAAGGTGAACCAGCTCAAGGGCCCCTTGGCTATACTGTCCAGTACTCAGGACTCAGCAGTGTGTTAAACTAAATCACATCAAATCATCCCTTAAAATGTCAGCAGACGGGCAGACTAAAAATGGAGGTGGAAGGGGAGAAAGAAAAAGCCACTTCCTGGAAATGATGCTCCATCTACATTTCCTTTTCTGGAAACAGTGAAGAACAAAGAACAACATGTGATCAAAATACACAATAAATGTTTAAACTTTTGAAAATGGAATAGGTGTGTTCAAAGAGAAGAGAGGCATGCTGAAAGGGATTAATGGCAATATGCTCTTTCTTGTAATCAATTTTTAAAAAGTAAACATTCACCAAAATTTTCAACCAAACCTCATAGGATTAGATGGCCCCATTTGAATTCAAAATCCCTGAAATGCAGTGAAGATGACACAACAGGCAACTTTTAAAAACTTGCTACTTCTCATATGAACTCCTGCACCAGCTCTGTCTCTTGTCCACATATCAGCGCTGTGCGAAAAGCAGCTTTTGGAGTCAAGAGTTTCTTGAGAGGACAGTGACAGGAAAGGAGGCCTGTGCCATGTGGCAGAATGGGACAGGAGCCCACCACGCCCTCCAGAGATGCTTCTAACGGTCAGAGGCCTGATTACTGCAGCATGGGCATTCAGAATGTTTTTATTTTATGAATGTTAACACACTAGAAACTCATAACACAGCCAAGCAGTTATGAGCTCCAACGCTTTGTGAGAGATTTTCTCTGAGGGCTCGTTAATGTGGTCTGTTAATGGAGTACTCCTGAATTGGAATCCTTAACTGGAGCTTTCAAATAGGGGCTAGGAAGCATGTGGCTGCACATAGTGAAGCAGCTTGGCCTCTATGCCTGTCTCTGTCTGCAGTGATCAGGGGAAGGATGAGGCAGAGAGCGGGAGGGCAATAGAGAAGTTTGGCAAAACTATCTTGGCATTAAAAACACAAAAAGGGTCAGATGGTCTGGAGAGAAGTTAATGGCTCTAGGTCACATTCTCACTGCCAGGATTCATCAGGTTGCCTCTAAGACCTACCATTCCCATAAATTGACCTGGCCATTGATACCAGTGCTGCCCATCCCTGCCACCCAACCCCAATTCCAAAAATGCACAGGCATTTGAACTGTCCCTCATCCCTATTGTTCTGCCTACCTGAGAGTAGAGACACATGGAGGAAAATTTCACCAGTTATTTTGAAAAGCAGCCGTTTGTGATTCTACTCAAGGATTATAATGGCAAAAGGGGGCTGGGTACAGGAATTGCATGCAGGCAAGGAAATACATTCTTAGAATTCTCACCGTAATATTGCCTTATAAACACTTTATTAAGTGAAGAAATGGATGAATGAGTAGGTGAAGGATTGAATTCTTTATCTGCATTTGCTGGCAGAGTTGAGTTCAGCCAAATTCTAGTCAGAAATTTGAAAGATGAAATTTCAGATTCCAAATGAGGAATTCCAATCCCCAGTGTTCCATTATTCACACAACCTGTGGCAGCCTGCTGGGCATGTACTAAATAGAAGAACCATGAGCTCCTGTAGTTTGTTTAAATAATACCCCCAAAAGTTCATGAGTATGATCCTGTTCAACCAGATCTTGTCTTCCTAAGTCTGTGGTCCCATTTCATCCTGAAAAATGTTAGTTGGTTTTACTTCAGCATGAAGGGCTTGGGGTCCTTACGAGGGACTACATTCATTTCTGTCTTGGATTTTGTATACTAACACAAAAGAGAATTCTTAAAAAGCTCTAAAATAAAGAAGCCTACTTCATTTAATTCATCGTTTCTGAAATTTATTTGTCCAAAAGAAATCCTTTTTGCAAAGTGTGATGGACAAAACAATGCCCTCTGCTCTGGCCAGCTGTCCACATCCTAATCCCCAAAGCTTGTCACTCTGCATGGGTTATTGCTGATGAAACTAAGGACCCAGAGGTGGGAAGGTTGCCCTGGATTACCCTGTCAAATCACATGACCTATCAAATCACAAGAACTTTAGTAGAAAGCCTGAGGTCAGAGTCTGAAGGAGACCAGGGATATGGCTCAATGATATAGTTCCTGCCTGGCAAGTACAAGGTCCTAAGTTTGATTCCCTGTACCTGCCCCCCCCCCCCAAGTATAAACCAGAGTCTGAAGGAGATGGAATAGGCAACCGAAGTTGGACCTTTGTGTTGTGAAAATGAAGAAAGGGGTCACCAATCAAAGAATGGGGGTGATCACACATCATGGAAAGTCTCCCCTGAAGACTCCAAAAGGAACACAGCTCTGATGGCATCTTCATTTTAGGGCCCCCTTTTATATTTCTGAGCTCCAGAACTGTAAGAGCATGAATCTATGGTGATGTAAGGCACCAAGTTTGTGGCAAATTGTTATGCAGCTACAGGAAACTAATACCACAAGATGTGTATTAACATTTCATTTTTAACTAATAGGAATGAGAAAGTAAGGATGTTTGTTCAATTATCATGCAGCAATATGATCAAAAAGTATAGCAAATGTTTAAATTATAAAAGTTTATTACAGTAAAACACATTGTCATTAACTCCCCTCAAAATACTCCCCCTAATTTCAAACACATTTATCCTATCTTTTTAAAAAGTTTTTATTCATTTATTATCTTTGGTACCAGGGATTGAACACACAACCTCACACCTGCCAGGCAAGCGCTTACACTGCTGAGCTAAATCTCTGGCCCTATCCTATTATTCTTGACACTTTCTGAAGCAATTGTAGAAGATCTCTTTGAATTGATTCAAAACATTTACCTTCATGGTCATTTTGACATTGAGGAAGAGCCAGAAGTCACATGGTGCCAGATTCAGCCACTAAGGAGGATGAAGACACACTAAAGTGCATTTATGAGCCTGTTTTCCATTGGATGGCATGCAGCAGCAACTTTTACCCATATTTCTGATCACATCTCATAAAAACTTTCATGAGAAAGGACTAGAAAAACTGCTTCAGAGTGTGGCAAGAATAACAGAAAACATATGTGTGAAGCAAGGGGAAATAGTTTGAGGGGAGTTGATGGCAGTATGTCTTTTTCTATAATAAATTTCTGTTTGTTTATATTTGGTACTGGAAATCGAACTTAGGACCTTGTACTTCCCAGACAGGCACTGTGCCACTGAGCTATAACCCCAGCCCTGTAAAAAATTTTCAAAAGCTAAACATTCGCTGTCCATTTTGATCACATTCTAAAATAACCAAAACACCTCTCCTAAGCGTCCACTTCCTACTTACCTTTAGCTCCTCTCCAGAGCCATAGCTGTGGAAAGGTTCATCCTCTCGTCCATCAGGATGTGCCACAATCATTTTGTTCACACACTGTTATCGCCACGCAGCGGCTATGTGCTGAGCTCCTGTCTCTGTAGGAGGCTGACACAAAGTGAGAGAAGGCTGTGCTCTGGAGGAGTGCGGCTGAGTGACTGTGCATCTCCTACCAGTGTTAAGGAGCCTTGGGGGCAAGTACCATGCGGTCCACATCTTGAGGCTTCATATCACTTCTTGACACAACTAATTAAACTATAACACTTACACTTCTCGGGTTTCTCCCTAGAATATTCTGGGAAAGGGGCTGGCAAGCCGCCTGGTTTGGACGAAGTCTCTCAAGGGTTGAAGTGTTGAAATTTAATTCCCACTGGGAGATTTTAAGAGGGTGGAAATTTAATCCCACTGTGGTGTTTACAGGTGAGGATTTTGGGAGGTGATGGGAATTAGATAAGGTCATTACAGTGGAGTGCTCAAGACTAGATCCTGGTAGCTTTATAAGGAAAAGGAGAGAGATGAGAGAGAGACTCATAGACACATTCCAGCTCCCTGTCTCTCATCATTGCTACTCTGTGCTGCCTCAGAGCCAGAAAAAAGACATCTCAAGGTGCAACTCTTTGATCTTGGACTTCCTGACCTGTGAGGCAAAATAAACCTCTTTTCTTTATAAAGTTCATAGCCTCACATATTGTATTATGGTAC